TGAAAATTTAATTCATGAACTGTAGCGCGTTTAAATAAATGAAGTGTTAATTCATTAGGATTAATTAATTTGTTAAAGGATTGTGTGCAAGGTTAAGGTGGAAGAAAAACTCTTTGTTAGTTTCGCGTCTTAATCACCAGGTTTTGTTAACAGTGAAGGGAGAAAAAATAATTAAAAAATAAGCCAAACCGCGACGACGGTTTACGTGGGGCGGGGGAGCCCGGGGCAGGGCAGTGCCGGCAGGGGAAGGAAACCTCTGTCTTCCCCCGCCTTTTTTTTTTCTTTTTTTGGAGCTGGGGTCAAAAGTGCCGGCGGAGGGGCTTGGACCGATTAATTAAATTAATTGTAGCCGAGGAGGTGGAAGCGGGTGCCGACGATGGTGACAGGCGCATCCCCTCGCCACCCTGCGGGCAGGGAACAAGAACTCGGCGCCGCCGTCCTGCCAGCGACTGGCAGCCAGCGCCAGCACTCCCCCAGATTTGAAGCCAGCTCTAAATTGGCCATCAGTGACACTGTTTTCACCGCGAAGCCGCCAGGACCCCGGCACTCAGATGTCCTTCAAGAGGACAGTGGCCCGGGAAACGGACAGGGGCCTCTCTCATCTGTGCGCGGTTCCCGGGCTTCCCCGGTACTGTTTGGCAGCTTGAAATGGGGACCCACTGACCTGGCAGCTGAGCATTTTGACAGTCTGTCTGGCTTCTTTGAAAAAACAGCTGACAGCACTCACACAGGGTCAGAGACAAAACTTTCTACCAAGAAAAGCTGAAAAAAAATCAGGAAAATTAAACTTCATCTGTTTTTCAGCCCAGTATCTTCCTCCCCCGCTACCTCCCGCTACATTTGCGACTGCCAAAGCACACACGGGCTATATACTGGGCTATAAACTGGGCTTTTCTCTCCATCCTTCTGCTAATTAGGATGACTTTTCCAGTTAGAGCTAAGGGACACTGAGGCACGAGCTCCATGTTGTGCCACGAAGGCAAGACAGACTCCACTCCTTTAGGGCAGGCCTGACAGCTGGTGGCAAATCACAGTGCTGCAGGACCAAGATGCAGGAGTGGCCAGACCTGGTTTTGCCAGGATAGAATCACAGAATCTGTTTTCTGCACAGGAAAGCTGCATTTCTGCAAAGGCTACAATGCATGGGAACCAGGTTGGTAAGTCGCTTTGTTTTAGTTTTTGGCTGACACCGGTATGTGATGATCAAGGTCTTCAGCAGTTTTGAGTCAAACGGGTGCAGAAGCTGGGGGTGAGCAGAGACCCAAGGCAGTTGACCCCAAGCTGATCAGTGACAATTATTTCATACCGTAAATGTCATGCTTACTATAAACTGAGGAGTTTGCTGGGTGTGCCCCTCTTTCTCTGATGGCTGTGATCTCAAGAGGGTCTCACTCGTTCTACTCCCGAGGTCCACTTCCCCACTTGTTATGACCATCACAGCTTGTGACCACTATATCAGCTGAGTATAACTCCATGTACTTTATATTATTAATAACAGTTGATTATTATTTTATGAAATCTGTTTCTATTACAACGCACAGGTCTCCTTTTCCCAATTCCTCTCCCTGAGTGAGGAGTCATCAGGTGATGGAACACCTGCCTCAACCACAACAGTAGCCAGAGGGGATTGCTTATCTCCTCTGACTGTGAGCAACCCCTGAAACAGCCATGAACCTCCACATCAAGTTACCTCATCCTCTCATCCAAACCTGGATGTCAGTAACTGGTGCTGGTAGGCAGAGCTGTTCCAGCAGCTTTTCAGCTGAGGATGCAGTAGGAAGCGGAACCGGGCTCTCACGAGGCCTTCAGGGAATCATAGGGGAAGAAGCAGGTCACTTGCTAGACCTTGCATTGTAGGTAAAATTGCCTACAACAAAGTGAAAACCTGACCCTGGTGTTCTTGCTCTTAGATGTAACCCAACAGATTTCACCGGCAATGAACTGAGGCCAGTAGCAATCTCACTCTTCTGTGTCACCAATACTCCTGGAGAGTGTTCTCTTGTGTTACAACCTGCAAGTTGCCTTGTATTTAGCACAGTATTATTAGGTGAAGTAAAAATTTTATGAGCTATTAAATATCATTACACATCCTAGATTTCATCTCCACATCACTTTGAAACATCTATTGTCTTAATCAAAATTGCAATAGTTAAGTTTTAGTTGCATATCCCAGTTCTACATTACTACACAACTAGGTAACTATCGTAAAAAATTAACAGCAGTGAACTCTAATTCAGGCCCTTTTATTCAGAGAGCACGGTAAGTGCAGCAAGAGATTAAGCAGGCACAGCACTGACAGAATGCAGCCTGGAGAACTGAAACCCCATGTATGGCCAACAAATTTGTAACTAGAGAAACCCCATTCATTACATACTGCTTAAAATTTAAATTTGACATTGCACCAACTGCTCTGTCAAACTTTAAGCCATCTACATTAACCAAATAAAATGTGGAACTTAAAGTGTGGTAGCTGTTTTAAAGGCACTTAATTAAAAAAAAAAAACAACCACCAAACAACCCCCTTTCAAAACAACCACCAATAAAACAAGACTAAGGTACAAGAATTCAGATCTGATTCAGCTTTATAACTTGTGAAACGTTAAAATGCTTCTACTTATAGAAGTATGCAACCACCATCTGGTCACTGCATCTGCAGCTGAGATCTGAGGGTACAAGAGAGCATGGAAACCAAGTAATCATGGATAACTACGATAACTTGCTTGCCACAATGCAGGAAGTTACCAGCCTGGAGCTGCGAGGCTGTAGGTGATGGTCAATGTGCTCCCATTACTGTACTTGGCCTGAAATGCCTCACTCTTTGTCCTCACTTGAGAATAAGATATGAAGTTTATGACTTCCATTTTCAGCATTTTAACCTTAGTCTCAGCTCTTCTATGTATTCAAGTTGCATGACACGTAAAAATCAAAATACCTGTATTGAAGAGCAAGCTCATAGGCGGAGTTCCTGCCTAAAGGACTAGAAAGTAGCATTAAAAAAATCCCAACATGTTCCTTTATTCTAGTTTGATTTCAGGTATAGTATCAGCTTCATTCATGTTTCCATTGAAATTTACTTGTGTATCAGAATATTGGAGTATAACATGAAGCACATAAATGCACCTCTCCCCAAACCCACAACGAAAAAAATAAACTACCTTAACACACACTTACTGCATATTTGTGACTGCTTTGCAGTACAAGGATGTTTTAAGAAAGTATTAGAGGTGTATTTGAGAAGCCCTTGACTCTTCTCCCAGAGTGTTAAATCAAGGCAGCATTTTTTGACTTATTAGAAAAACTAGTCAAATCAAGTAGCAGCTCATGTCCAGATGGTTTTGCCAGCTCTCTAATTTCTGAAAAATATGTAAAAATTGAATGACTAGATTTTTCTGTGAAGATTAAAATTCAGGTGCTATACTGAAAGCAGTATATGAGAGCACAATGCCATCCTGCTTGGCACCAGGAAAGGGTCCTTGCATATATGGCTTTAATAATGATTTTTTGGTAAAGCTGTTTCTCAAAAGAACAAACACATCAATTGCAAAAATGCAGGCACACATTACAACATGAAATGCAGTTCTTGTTCAAGTGGCTTACAGGACTTAACTTCACAAAAGATGAGCCAGTCTATTGAAATTTTCCAAGCAGCGATCCCTCTTTTCAAAGGGATGAAAGGCAGCATATGGATTTTTCATATCATAGGTATTGATGACGCAAGGATGTCCGTTTGCAAGAAATGCCATCAGAGGCCCATATGGAACGAAAAACCTGCATCTTACAATTAAATATGCCCTTAAAAAAAACTTCCAACACGATAATGCAAAGAAACCAATTTTGCTCTGCTGCTTAATTAGGTCTCCTGCCTGTAGTAGACCATCACATTATGTTGACCTATGCAATACTTCATGGAAGAGTCACCTCCAGAGAGGCTGAAAGCCATTTCCATCAACTGTATTGATGCTGACACTAGAATGGCAATACTTCTAACGAGAAGGAGGAAGGGAGATTTGATTTTTTTTGGTGAATAAGCTCACATTTATGTTTTACAAAATACAGATATTTTCCGAATTATGGAAAAAAAAGTTTCCCCATTCTCTTTTTGCTAATTCAATATTTGAGGCAACGTCAAGGATTACAGTGCTTATAACATGTTTTATTCAATTCACATAGAAAAGCATGCAGTATTAATGTAAAATGGTACAGTATTAATGTAAAATGTTCAGTGCACATTAGGTAAACAAGTCATTAGCATACAAACCCATTTTTATGGTCTATACAGGCATACTGGACACATTTAGAATAACAATGCTTTTGGGGAACCAAATTAAAAATTGTGCTTAACTTCAAAAAATACAGGCCATGTGCGCAGTGTTAAAAAATAAATGTTTTCTACCTGAAGTGCTGCAATCCTGAAAAGAAAGAGGCTGCTACCTTACACCCACTTAAAACAAGAATTTCAGTACAGTACAGTGCTATGAAACAGTCCAAGCAGCAACATTTCCTCTGGGAGGCAAGTTTTATGGCAAAACTGACATTGTTTTACAGCAATTTCATGAATCCATAGGACATATAGCCAGTAGCTGCCTTACATGCACAAAATGTAATCTTTAGGAATGGGAAATGTAACCCTTAAAACAAATTCTTACATAAATTACTGATTTGACAAGACCACTTAAAACTATCCTGCTCAAGGGAGTCATTAGCTGTGTTCACAACTGGAAGATCGTGTAACCTGAAAACTAAAAAAAAACCCCAAAAACCAAAACCCCACCCAAAACCCCAAACCCTCAAATAAACAAAATCTCCAGCCAAAGAAAAGAATCTTAAAATGGTTCTGCCCTAGGAAAGAGCTCGTAATGGGCAAGGGAATGTTCAGTTTTCACATAGTCGAAAAAGGCAGGATCAGACTGCATGAAAGTCATTAAAAATTAAGTTCACCTGTAAATATTAAACATTTACAGGTTGATGACCTTGAGTCACGTTCGATTTCCAAGCAGAGTCAGTTTTTGGTGGTTTTTGACGGACTGGCACTGGACAGGCTGCTCTGAATTTTCCTCTTGGTCGACTGACTGACATTTTTGTTTTTCCTTTCAGCTATAAAGGAAGACACCCAAGGAGGATTAAGCTGATTGTGCAGGTCAGATGACATCTTTAAAAAGCAGGAACCGAACTTTTGTTCCTCAAACCCCCTTTGTGAGTTACTGAACAGTAAACTCTGGGAAAAGTCTCTCTGAAATAAACAGTTTGGAGGTTTGGTATCACTAGCCACTACATTTTGGCCCGTAAAGAGTGGAAAGTGGTCGTTCATATCTAGCTCAGATGGGGAGAGGATGGAAAACATCGCAGGCTTCCAGCCAGATCTGTCAACTGCTGGATCACTCGTCTCTGGGCACTTCATACTCTGCTCCTCATTCATCTCTTCCAGTTTCTTCTCAGTTTCGTTCAGAAGCTTAGAGCACTCTATTGACTTTGCAGAACTATCAAGATCAGAGGACTTGAAATTATAGCATGGACTCTTGCTGTTGTCTGATTCGGACATCATTGAGTCCAACTCAGAAATTTTGTCGAGGTAGGCAGCATCCATGGATGCCTCACTGGAGGTTCTTGTGCGATTCATTTCAGAAGAGCAGAGAGTGTGTAACCTTTTAGGTAAGCAAGAACCTGTTTTATCACTGGACTTTGCTGATGTCTCTTCTGACCGACCAGCTACTGAATTTTGCTCCGATTCATCAAAATCTAAGTTCTCAGCAAAATTTGTTGGGCAGGTCCCCCAAAAACCCGATTTTCCTGTAGTAAAACAGTTTAGCTTCTTTTCACCATTACAGCTGCTTGTGCTGTGCTCTGGAGAACCTTTGCTGCAGTCACCTGAAGCGTCGCAAAACTCTTCAAATTTCAGTTTTCTCAGGAACGTTGATGGCTTCCTTGCATTTTCTTTTCCATCAGGAGTGTTCAACTGAAGGCGACTGAGAGACAGAAAAGTTGTGCACGGTGCTGGGAGATCATAAAGTTCTTCATCCTTATATGGGGTACATTCCTCAATTTTGTTCCACTGCTCTTCTGAACAGGCATCCATATTTGTACTGTTTTCATCCAGAAGAACCCCTTGACATCCTGGAAATAGTTCTTTCTTTGTGGCACACTGGGTATTTGAGCCATTTGAACCCTCTTGGCTAGAAGAGCTTAAAGAAGTTCCACCACTTGTCAGCTGCTCAAGACTGTCAGGACTTTGACTGGCCGTCAAAGCTTTCTTCTCCTCAACTTGGGTTTCCAAACATGTTGTATCTTCACTGCTCTCAGCTCCTTCAGCATCTGCGGAAAGTGCTCTCTCACTAACAGCGCTCGCTGTCTGGGTTCCTTCGCCTGCGTTTTTCAGCTGTAAAAGCTGACACTCTATTTCTTCTATGTATTTATCACTTCTTTCCAGTGCCTTTTTTAGACGGTTCATTTCACGTTCACTTTGTTCTACTTTGGACTGAAGGGCAGCTACTGTAAACCTACCAAACCTGTAAGAAGTAAAAAGGAAAGAAAATATTAGGCTGGAAAAAGATATTCTTGTGGTGCTTTGTGAGCTCATTTCAAGAAAGAGCAAAGCTATTCAACATTGTGTTAATTGGAAAACAGAAGTCAGAACTTTTCTCTGCTAGTTATGAAGAAAGAATAAATCATCATATATAATGTACAGGTGGAGGTGAATACCTGAAAAGCCAAAATTAAACTATTAGCGGTAGTAAGGCAATAACAAGCAGATTACCCTTTCAGGGGCTGGTTCTATCAATTCAACTCAAATATGCATGAAGAATTATCCCCTAAAACAATGGCAAAGATTTATGATAACATTTGAACAGTGGTCCACATCTTGAAATATTTACATTCAATCATTTTCCTACAGTACAGCAGTGTTTTACAATACATTTTTTACACAATGTCACCTTGTCAAATATAAAACACCAATACGAAATTCAGAAATTGCAATAGTCCTTTGAGGTGGTTTAAATACTCATATAGACCATTTCAATTATATTCCCACTAGACATACAGCTTTTCCTCGGCCACTGCATGGATGGCACTTCCACTTACTTCAGAGCTACTTGTTTTTTTGAGCTTTACAACTGGAACAATCTAATTGACTCCAATACATAAAATCTGCCACTTGTGGTTTGTGAAAGTTGTGTGTTTGTGGGGCTTTCAGCTGGAGCACATTTTCAGCTGCCAAGATGCGGACTCACCTTTCCCCCATCCTCCACCAGCTTTCAAGCCTGACCTTCCCCACAGGGCAGGTGAAGGTTTCAGCTGTATGTCCTGGCTAATTCTAACCTGTCACTGACAGGTGGACACCAGGGAATTCCCTGCTCCATCCGAGGCTTTCAGTTTACAGAAATAAAGAACAATTCAAGTTCTGGTATTACTAGGAAGGAGGGGAGGACCGGCAGCCACCCTACAACTCTGACACAAGGTTTTATATCACGAAGAAGTGACAATTCTGTATGCGGACTTACACTAACCTCCGCTTTTCATCTCGCAGCTCCAGGTTACAGCACAAGTTTATATTCACTCTTACAGCACAAACACCATCCAAAATTTCCACTATTTTTTGGTTTATCTCTCTGTCCCTCCTTCAGCATCTTTCAGAGCCACAGTGAATTCCCATTCCATTTTCCCCACTCCATCCCATCACCCCTTTGCAAAATGCTCCCACTGCAACCCTTAGACCAGTGAGGTCTGAAGTTGGTGTATCTGTGGCCTGCGACTTTGCTTGCAAAATATCCACAAATCTATGCGTGCATTTCCAGCAAAGAACTGAACTATATTTTGTTTCTTAAGTTCCTGAGACCAAAGCAGTAGGAAACTGCCCTATGCTGACAACAGCAATGCAATTAAGTGGTCAGTTAGGGAAAGGAATAAGGGGTATAATAAGCCCAGAGAAGTGAGGCCTGAGCGACCAGATCTACTGACAGGTTTCACCATTCAACTGCTTCTGCATATTTAAAGGACTTTGAAGATTTTGGTGTAAATGGTTCAGTAGCGGGGAATGTTTCAATTATGTTTTCAGATGAAGGGGGTTACAGTGAAATAAGCACCCTCATATACAACACGTTTTAGTTTATTCCCTCCTTCAGTAAAAGGAACTCAGATTTTGGTTTAAAATACTGAAGGAACCACTGTAGTGCAGCAGGGCCCAAGCAAGACTCTCCCTGCTTTCTAGGGTGATTCAGAAGTATTTATTTTGCCTTTCTCTAACAGACCTGTTCACACAGCCTTACAGGAGCAAACCTTACACTGCTTAATAAAGGACATAAAAGTGATGCAAAAATAAAACTTAGCTTAATAGGTAGGCGAGAGATGGGGAAAAATGCTTACACAAAATACGTAAGATATTCTGGGGTCTGCTGTAACAGACACTTTGACATAAAAATTAAACATGTTTACATTTATATGCATACCTGGCAATTCCTTTTTAATGGAAGAATAGTGTAATATGTTTATTTAATGCAAATAGCACTAGTGACAGCCTGAGATTTGCTTATAAGGAAGAAGTGCTGTATTCTCAAGTGCAACTTTTATAACAAGTGTCCTCAGGTTAAAAAAAAAAATACACTATGCTGTTCAAAGCCAAATAGCATCACTAATATGTTAATTGTTGTAGAGGGATGTGCTTGGGAATTTTGGTTTTCAGAAACGGAGTGTCTAACATGCTACCTACAAACAGTTACCTCTGCAGTTAAGCACCAGAACAGTAGTTACGTTCTGTTCCTGCATTAAGACTTGCATGCATTTATTTCCCAAATTTTCAAGGACATGGAGTTTTGAGACAGCCATATTACAACACATATATTTAAACCAATTACTCTAAACTAAAGCATGACACAGGTTTTTTAGTGACTGATCTGGCAGGTCAATAGACAGTTTTAAAGACATGCATATTTTGGTTAAAGAAGCCAGAACCCTTCCCTTCTCCCCAAACCAAACTGCTCTCCTAAGAGGTCTCCTTTTCCCTTCAGGTAGACAGTGAACTGTGCCACAGACAAAAAGTTATGGTCTGATGATAATCATAATAGAATGCAGTACAGTCACATGAAAATAAGTTAAATTTGGCCTGAAACTCGAGATAAATTATTTTTCCTGAAATATTTGAACCTAATTTTAACCTCTTCTTGCCCTAACATTATTCTAACTTATACCAATCAGAAAGCTGCTGTCAGCTCTCATCTACAGTGAGCAATAAGAACATTATAGCTTTAATGTTTGAGCAACCCTCTTTCATATTATTCCACAACCGCTCCCTCAGTTATGTTCAAGTACTCCTGAAGGTGTCTATTTAGAAACTGTTTGGGAAGTTTAATAGTCTCTCACTCACAAGAGAACAAATCTCTTCAGTTGTTTTTTCTCTTCTTACTCATCAGTTCTGCAAATTCAGCTTTAAGATTCTATTTTCACACATCAGTGATCACTGACTATAGCAGGTCACAGAATCACAGAATCTTAGGAGT